CAGGTGTGGGGCGCGGCGGGGCAGGGACCCCTCTGGACCCCGACCCCGCTCGCCCCCCGCCGCTTCCTCCGGCTCCGTTCCGGCGTCCGCGGCTCCGGCCCTCCCGAGTCCCCCGGTGCCCGCCCCGCCCGGGCTCCCCGCCCGGCTCGGCTCCCTCCCGTGCCTGCGCCAAGGGGAAGGGGGAGAAGAAAGCCAGCGAGGACGCTTTGGGAGCCGCCCGAGTCCCACCCGCCTCGGGCCTATGTCCCGAGGAGAAAAAAAAGGGGCAAAAAGGAAAATTCTGCCCCTGAAATATGCTGGCTGCGCTGGTGGGGGTTTGTGCAGACGTGGGGCTGGCTCGGTGGTGAGATGGGTTCTCGAGGGGAAGCAGGGACGTCCAGGAGCCTGTGGATGCAGCAGACACCGGTGTGAGCACACAGGCTGAGTCAGGAGCTGATTTACACGCTGAGACACTGGGCTGTATTTCCTGAGCCTCCGACATCCCGGGGCTCCCGGTGCTTCCCCTTGGGTTTGGGGACATGCTGAAACCAGGATGGGGACAGGAGCAAAGGCTGGAGCACAGGTCCCACAGCAGTTTCCCGGAGGGAGCAGGGACAGTCGCATCCCGGCTGTTTGCTCCAGGCCGGATGTCGGGAAGGAAACAAATAACACAGAAACCACCCATGGCTGATAACTGCGGGTGATTGAAGCGCAGCGTGAGCGGCCTGTGCAGAATGTCAAGGCTGTTTGTGGGAAGCCGAGACAGCTGGAAACGCTCTTGGGCTGCCCTGGACTTTCAGGAGAGGGGACAGAACCACGGGCCAGCTTTCCCCTGCCCTGATGTGCCCCGGTGCAGCTTCCTCCTGCCCTGCGGTGACACGGGGGCCCTGGCACACCGCTGGGGCAGGATGTGCCCCACACATGCTGTCTGCAGACCCCAACCAAACAAGTGAGAGCCCCGAGGCAGGAGAGCTGGGGGGACGCCCAGGCTGTGTCGTGCAGTAGATGTGAAGATTAAGACGCTCTCTCACCGCTGATAAACCCGCCTTCCTCATCACAGCCTCCAGCAGTCCTGGCTGTGGGAGGCTCCGGGCCGGGCCACCGTGGGGACACGGATGTGACAGCGTGGGGCTCCGAGGACACGGCACGGACCCCGCGCTGCAACGCGCAGGGGAAGCTCCGCACGGCCCCGAACGACTTTGCCCCGGGGGGCTCCGGGGCTGCGGGCGGTGCCGGCCCCGGCCCGGAGCCTGCCCGGGAGCTGGGGAATCCAGCCCGGAGCCTGCCCCTGAATCCAGCCCGGAGCCTGTCCCGGAGCTGCGGAGCCCGGCCCGGAGCCTGCCCCGGAGCCCGGGGGTCTGAGGAATCCAGCCCGGACCCTGCCCCGGGGGTCTTTAGAGCCCGGGGGATCCGGTCCTGCCGCTCGGTTTCCTGAGCTGAAACCAGCGTTGGGTGTCGAAGGATGCAACGGAGGGGAAGGACCGCGGTCCCACCGAAGGCTTCAAGCACACACCCGCGGTTCCCGCTGCTGTCGGGGCCTCGAGGAAGGGGGGAACCCTCTCCCGTCCCTCCTGCCCTGGGCTGTGCCCGCCCTCGTACCCCCCTCTGCGGGGCAGAGCTGGGGGGCTGCAGAGCTGGAGCTCCCAGGGCCCCGGGACAGGCAGGCAGAGCCAGGCACAAGCAGGAGAAGAGAATTTAAGTAGTCTCTGATGGAACAGAGAGACGGTGGGGTGGGGAAACACAATGCAGTTGTAGTAGGAACACTCCACTTGCCTCCAGGAGCTTTTTCTGGTTGAAGTTTGGATGCATCCCTGCCTCTCAATGCCCCAGACCTGGCACAGGCTGCCAGGGTTTTAGAGGATTTGGGGCACCTGTGAGAGGAACAAACAGCTCCCTCCAGCTGCAGCACGGGAAGGGAAAAACTCTGGGCCTCCTCCAAAGCTGGGATGGCATCCCTGGCACAGGGAATGCTGCCCTGCCTGGAGGAGAGCACTTGTGGAGGGCAGGAGAGGATCAGACAGCAGAGGAAGGGACCCCTATTCTTGTTTCGCCATCATTATACACTAGACTGTTGCATCTTGGCCTCTAAAAAGAAGACAACCTTCTGTCTCACTTTCAAATTAGGTTTTTAATTAAATAAATAACGGCGAGGGGTCTTCAAGGCAGTGTCACTTCACAGTGTAGGGCTGGGGGGCAAGGGAGAAAAGAGTCCAGCATGGGGAGCGGCTCAAAGTGAATGTGCTTTGTAAGAAGGAAAAAAGAAAACCCCAACAAAAAAACCAAAAAAAACCAGAACCAAACCTCCTCCCCCAGTGACTCCCCTTCCCTGTCCCAGCCTTTCTCACCCCTATCCCTCAAAGTTATGTGGAAAAAGCGCTGCACTCATGTTGAAAGACCCCATGCAAATCTGTAAACAACACTGAAGGACATAAAGAGATTTCTGCCTCAGCCAGCTCCCCTCTCCTTTCACTAGGGCTTGAAATAAACCAAAAGAAGAAATGGTTTCAGGAAAAGTAAGAATGTTCTCAGCCGACGGAGGAGATGCCAAGGCCTGGCCCTCCCTGGGAGGGCTGCCTGTGCTCTCACCCTGCCTCCTCCTCTCCCTTCAGCCAAGGAGCTTCCTCTCACCCCAGAAAAGGGGAATCTCAGCCTGGGCAGTTCCACTATGGAGCAGGCACTCGTGTTTGCTTTCTGTTCCCAGCAGCCAGGAGCAGCTGGAGGGGAGGCCTCTGCTCAGCTCCTCTGGCTGCCAAAGCCAGGCCAGTGAAGGCAGCTGCACCTGCCTGGGGCTCAGCACCTCCCAGCACAGAGCTGGGGACCAAAGCAAACCCCTGCTAAAGCACACAGAGCAGATCTGGGGCTTAGGAGATGAGACAAGGTCTAATCCTGACACCCCGCAGGGCTGTTTGATGCTGTCTCCATGCTCCTGCTGCAGGGCTGGGCACAACTTCCCAGAGCCAGGTAAAAGGAGGATGCAGGCTGCTGGGTTTAGGTACCTGCCAAATCCACTGGCAGCAGAGCCAAGTGCACATCCCAGCCCCAAGGACCCCACCCTACAAAACCCTCAGCCCAAGCCCCTTCCCAGCTGCAGAACACAGCTCTGTCTGCACCAGAGCCCTGCCCAGCAGGTGAGGGGAGAGCACTCCCTGCTTGGGAAAGGGGAATGAGAACACACTGAGCCAGTGGCCAATCCCACACCTGCAATACACCTGGCAAGTGAAGCAGCTTTGGACTCCAGCACAGCCAAGGACAGGCTCCTGTGGCTCTGCACAGCACCTGGCACCTTCCTGAACATGGCAGAAATGACACACCTTCCTCTCAGCCTGTTTTGTGACCCAGGGAGGGCAGGGAAGCCCAGGGATGCTGCACTCCCCTGCCTGGGACTGTGCTAGCACCCACATCCCAGATATCCTGGGAGCTAAGCAACCTCCTCCCTCTGCTGACAAATTGTTGGAACAAACTGGGAAGTTACAGATGTTTTCACCCGCATTATCCCTCTGGCACTTCAGCCCAGAGAAGATCAGGTCATCCCCTGACAGCAGCAGCACCACAGCTCTTGGCCAGCATCACTCTGAGTCTAGAACGTCCTGTTACTCCCCACAGAAATTCTCCCTGGCCCAGCACTGCAGGGGAAGTGAGAAGGACTCGAGTGCACACGATGCTGCTGCACACACAGCATCCCTTTCCAAAACCTGACACTTCTGCCCAAGGGCCACATCCCACCTGCAGCTGGTGGAGAGTCAGAACATGTGGCTGCTGCCAGTGCTCCTGGCATGAGAGCCCAGCTGCTGTCCCATGACATGGTCCTTAAGAGCCAGCTTGTCCCATTCCTCTCTAAAGCCTGGGATAGTGTCCCAGGCAGGACTCAAGGTGACACTGCCAGCCAGGACACCCCTTCCCTGAGCCTGCTGTGGTCCCAGGGGCTGTGCACAGGTGATAGGAGATGTCCTAGATTACTTTCCCCCACTCCAGCATATCCAAAGCACTTGTTAGCAGCATGACCCCGTTACTCACTGCTCACAGCAGTGTTTCCATCCCATGAGCAGCTGTGTGCCTGCCTGTCATGACCCATGGCTGCTGGGAGGAGGACAGGGTGAGTGGCTCCTACTGCAACACGCTGCCCATGGAGGAAGGGTCAGCCTCCCTTGGCATCGCCGTGCCCATCTCTGCAGGGAACTGCCCTGCAGCCCTCCCAGGCTCTCAGACCCCCAGCCTGCACCCTCACCATGATGGTGACACATCCCTCTTCTCAAAGCACCTCTGCCCTCAGACTGTCCTGCTGGGGCCAAGGGACGCATCCCCTGTGCCGAGGCAGGGACTCTCTGAGCGGACTGGCATCACCGGGGTGACACGTGGTCAGCTAGGAGGGGGGTGAGGGACCTCCCCACTCAGGAAAGCCAGCCACCACTTTGCACAACTGTGTCAGGATACACTGGAGCAGAAAGGTGTTTGGTTTCACTGCAGCCTTGGATCAAGGAGGATGGAAAGACGGATTCCGACCAACAGCTCCAAACTGTCCCTACAGGACAGCGGAAGTTCCAGAATTTCACTCAGTCAGGTCAAAGTCCTTGCTGGGTCTGTGACAAATTTGTGACTGGAGACTTTCACTGTGACAGAGGCTCTGACCGAGCCACAGGT